TGGTACACACTCCGCGCGTCGTCAGCAGCGGAAGAGCGCACACCGTACTCCGTCCTTCTGTATTCCTGTACTCTGTATTCTGTACCCTGTACTCTTCACTCCGTTTCTGTACTCCGCAAGCAACGAACACCGTCTGGCGGGTTCTCCCTTCGTCACCACTGGATCCGTGTACAGCTCATGTTCCGACAAAGGTGGGAAAACGTACGTGGAGATGCTAGTCTCAACATCGTCAACGGTGAAGATGAATCGGATGTTTGGATTAACAATGAACATCAACAATTTTTTGTTTTGGTCCAAAGATTGCAATTATATGAAAATATGGATCTTATATATATATATATATATATATATATATATATATATATATGTATATTGAATATGTAAAAATTCACATATATATATATACATTATATATATACGTTTTTCTGGACTGTTTCAATCTACCATTGTACGAGGTTTCTCTTATTTTTCTTTAGATTGGATGGGGACAAACAGTTGCTAAAAATTCCGCACGTTGTTGTTCAGCTCACAAAGCAAAACACAGGTCGTATGCTCCTGCAGTCGCAAGATATGTTGCCAATTATCGCCTCGCACTAGCGTGTTGAAACACTATATGCAGGGCTCTGGCAACAAGGCAGACAAACACCGTGGTCAACATCCTGTCAACAGCACATATGTCTATTTTTTACTACCTGGACAACTCACAGACGGAGATCGTCCCTGAAGCTCTAAAGGTGCTCATCGCCAATGCAAGCAGCTTCCGTGAGCACCAACGCGGAAGTGAGCCACACAACAGACAGCCACGTGCGTCCGGCTCTTCCACAGATGCTGCGTCGGCGCGTCATCGCACGGCTCTGAATATTTATCTTCGATGAGCAACCTCCGGACCGGAAGTGGCGACGGCGACTCGTCATCGCACTCCTCTGCACGTGTCGATCAGCCCCCCCCCCCCCCCCCCCCCTCCTCCGGCGATGATCGGCGCCGGCCGGGCGCCTCCGGGTCGGACCGAGCCGTTTGCCGTTTAACGGTCATTTGACTTGGCACGCGTGCAGGCCAGCCGTGTATCTGGCCGAGATCAGGTGTGCGTTTACGCGTCACAAATCGCCGCAGCCGCGCCACGCACGTGTCGTAAATCGCCGCCGGCGCGGCCGGCACGTGCCGCGTGTTTCCGGGGGCGGCGCGGCGGCGGCGCGGGATACCTGATCCCCGTCGACACATGGCCGGGCCGGCTGTCTGCCTCTCTCGACGGCCGAGTCCTCCCGTAATGGACGTTTGAAAGGCCGAGCCGCGCGCCCAGCCGTGGGAAGAGCCCACAAAGGACTGTTAAATAAACATTAGACTCCACAACATACACTCATGTAAAGACCGAAGGGGCCGGCTGCCTCCCCGCCGGCGGTCGGCGTCGGGTGCCGATCGGCCCACTTCACAGAACGGCCGCTCGGTGGGGACGGCCAACTGAGGCGGAAAGCAGCGCCGCCTCCAGAGCGACGCATTAAGTGGGCCGCCTCGGCCGGTGAAGGGGCTCGCCGCCGCCGGTTCATGCATGCGTAAGGAGGCGGCGGCGGCGGCGGCGGCCGGGGCGGTGCCACCTTCCGCCCACATTCCTCGGCGCAGAACCGCCGCGCGGGCGCCGCCGCCGCGCCGCCGCCGCGCCGGAGCGGCGCGGGCGTGGGTGTGACCCGGCGTCACGCATTATGCAGGGCGAGCACGCAGGCGGGAGCGCAAACAACCCGCTCCCGTAAAACAGCAACTAATCCCCGTAAAACGCGCCTTCCTGTCGCTGCAGCGTTTCGCCGCGGCGAGTTACGGCTGGGGGCGGCGCAGCTGACGAGGATGGGGCGGCCAGTGCGGGCTGTCGGCTAACCTCCCCAATCCGGACGGGGCGGGCTGTTAGCCGGCCGACGACATCGCCGCTCGGGCGTCCCGACAAAACAGGCGGCGCCCGGCATCCGACGGGCGGCCTCGCTCCCCGCAGACCGTCCAATCAAGATGCCCGGCATTGTGGGCGCTCCAGCGTCGGCGCTGTTGCCGGCCGTCACGTGCGACGGTCTCCCGAGCCGGCGCCTCACGTGTACAGCGACGGCTGCAGGTGAGCGGGTGGGACGTGAGCTGGTGCGATGAGCTGGGACGGTGAGCTGGGGTGGTGAGCTGGTGCGGTACGCTGGTGCGGTGAGCGGTGTGGTGAGCTGGGGTGGTGAGCTGGGGTGGTACGCTGGTGCGGTGAGCTGGTGCGGTGAGCTGGGGTGGTGAGCTGGTGCGGTGCTCTGGGACGGTGAGCTGGGACGGTGAGCTGGGGCGGTGAGCTGGGACGGTGAGCTGGGGCGATGAGCTGGGAACGTGAGCTGGGACGGTGAGCTGGTGCGGTGAGCGAGCGAGCGAGCTGTCTGGCGCCCCGGCTCGGTCGTCGGGCGAGCCCAGTCGGGCCGACACATGACCCGCACCGGCGCCGGACACTGTGGCGCCCCTGAGCTTCGGTTCCAGAGCCTCAGCGTCAGACTATTACTCAGACTAAATACCGGAGCCTCTGGCGGGCATACCTGCCGGCCGGACTTTGCTCACGATGAGGTCATGATCGGTGACGGCGGGGACGTGCTGTCACGTCTGCCCGCTGCGAGCCGTGCGCTTCGGAGCGGGAACCAGTCCAGTGTTGGACAGCGGCATGAGTTTATGGATTCCATCATTGTCACGTGGCAACATAGGGTTAAGGCATCCATCTTTTTCCAAAACGCATGGGGCCACCGTGCCGAAGTCTCGCACCCCGATTAGGACGTCCATTGTCCAGAAAGCTGCACGACGGCACACTGCTCCCGAGACTTCTCCACGTCGGACCGACTGAGTGATAACGGCAGAACAAGCGTGATGAGTCCCATCAATTCGCCGGGGTTGCCGCGGTGGAGCCCGGCCTAGCTCTCGCGCCGGCGAGCCCGCCCGCCGCGACAACAGCCGCCGGCGCGCGGGCACAAGAACCGCCAGTAACAGTGCAAACACCGACCAGCGCCGGCGGACTCGGCGCGGTCGAGTGCTTCGGAGTGGTGGAGACGGGCCACCGGGCTGCGGTCGGGGGACGGACGGGGAGGCGCGCGCCGCCTCGTCCTGCGCCAATCGCGGCACATCTCGCGGTCCCAGGTGCCGGCGCGCCGCCTCAAAGTGGCCACACAGCAGACAGCGCGTGCCGCACCTAATGGACGCGGCGCGCGGCGGCGACGGGCCGGCGCGCCGCACGTGCGCGGTCCCGCGGCCCGGCGGCTGTGACGGCCCCTCTGCAGTCGCCGCACGGACACGCGGCCTGTCGGGCTGAAGCAGTGTAATGCTCTGAAGACCAGACAGCTGCGGAGCAGTAACGCACTTAACGACTGGGCGTTCACAGATAAACTGACAAGCCGGATGAAAATCCTATTTACGGCCTGCAACCGGAGATGGCCGATAAACGGCGGCTCATCTCGATAGTATCGGCACGGACGAGCAAAAACCGCGCCGGCAAGACTGATTCAGTCGCTGAGCGACGGCGAGCACGGCGTCAGGACGGTTCGGAGCCCCGGGACGATGACCGAGCACGGTCCCGCACGGCGTGACGTGCTCGCGGCCGTGCACCCGTAGGTAAAAAATAATCTATCATCAGCGCGGTCCGGCCAGCGCTGGGAGACTGGGTAAACAGATAAGCCTGACTAATGGCGGGCGCGTGAAACAGCTCACCTCTTGTCGACCCGTGGCGACCTCGCACGGCCATGAATGCCGCCCGGCCGGCCGTTTTCACGCAAAAAGCGCCGAATCACGCGCCAGTGACGTCACCGCTTCACCTGCGGCGCGATCAGCGCGAGCCCAGCCCTTCAGCGGCGCGGCGTCACCGATTCCGGCGAAGAGCGCCTCATCGCGGCGGGAGCGACCCCAGCTGGGCGTCCACATTCCAGTCAGCGGCGGCGGCGGTGACGTAACGGTCACGTGACCTTGCGCCGGCCGGCTGGCAGCGACGGGCGCCAGGTGAGGCGTCGGAAGCCCGCCGCTGGACTGTCCTACGTCCTGCGCCCTGTTCGGCGACGCAGCCGACACCCCCACCCGGTGAAGACGCGGACGGCGGACGCGCCGGCCGGGCGGAGGCCGCGCGCTCGGCCTGCGGCGTCCGTCCGCGTCCACCTGGCCGCAGCCAGTGGCGGCGGCGGCGGCGACGCCCCGCGTGGGAGGACGTCCCGTGCCGAGCCGAGCGGAGCCGGTGACACGCCCGGTCGCCGGACCGGCCCCGCGCGCGTCACCACGCCGGCTGCGGCGCGACCGCCGCCGTCCGCGGCCGCCCGCGCGGTAATTGCGCGCGGCGTTCGGCACCGGAGAGTCTCACACGGTACCGGCGGACGCCGGCAGCGGCCGCGGCCGGCGGCGCGCTGAACCCGGCCCGGCGGACGCGCGCCGCCTGGCCTTGAGCGCGGACACACCTGTGTGAATCGGCCGCGCTGGCCGCGGGACGTACGCGACGGATGATTGCGAGCTATGGCGACAGTCATCGCGGCATACGGACCCTTTTAATTGTGGATGCTCAATTACGCATTATGTGACGGAGGGTTGCGTCCGTAATTATATAGGACGCTGTTTGATGATGGACTATAAAAACGGGTTGCCATTAGTTCACGCGCTGTCGCAGTCAGGGGAGGAAGTACTCGACGCAAAATTACCGGCCGTGAATGCGCGTGGTTTCGGAAACGACATCATTGTGCGATTGCTCTAGTAGGTCTGCACATGCCCGGCATTCCTCGGCAGACGTTAATAATACTTCACTGCTGGCACATGTGCGTTATGCAGTCATCATCCAACAAACAGGAGCAAAACACGTGCCGGCGGCACGCGAGCCTGCTTTTCCGCTCCGGTAGCCGGCAGCTGGCTGGTTAGACCCCTGCAGTAGCGCGGTCGGCGCAAGTGTGCCAGGTATCACGCCATCTATGACGCATCCATGAGCCCGTAGCCGATAATGCGCCAGCCGCGCCCGAGTTATCGCGCTGATCGCGAACACTTACCAGCTCTTCCGGTCTGTCCTGCCGTCAGTCCGCTGCTCAAGCGATTGGTGCAGCGCCACCGAGAAGCCGAAGAATGACTCCTGAGCGCCGTTCTTGATGATGGGGATGCGTGGCTCCAGGTTGAAGCCAATCACGCCGCCGGCGCTGCACAGCACCAGAGCGAGGAGATACCGCCCGGCCGCCATGCTGCGGGAGCCGGCACGCGCCGAGCCTTCACGAGCCTCGTCTCAGGGACAGGCTCCGCCCGCCGCAGCGTGGGGTGGCCGACTGAGCGGCCCAGCCGCGCGGCCCCGGCACAGCGCCGCGCTGCGGGCGCCACGCGCAGCGGGCGCCGATTCAGGTGGCACACCTGACCTGAGGTCACTTGCGGCTGGACACGCGGCTTCGCGAGGTGGATGCACGCGGAGTTGACACAGAATTCCGCGAGGCCAGCCGTCCGTGCAGACGGGCAAGATCTTCTCATGTTTCGTTAGATGCGCCAAACAAATGATAAACAAATCAAATTGGCCAGCCCTGACATCTATCGGCAAAATCTATAAGTGTATCTTTGAAACGTTGCCGCCCGCATGCGTGTATTCTGCAGTCACCATCCAACAAACACGAGCAAGGCACGTGCCAACGTCACGCGAACCTGCCCTTCCGCTCCGGTAGCCAGCCAGCAGCGCGGCTCATATCGACCTGGTCGACAGATGTCGGGCCCGCTCGTTTTGCTGTTGGGCCAGGCGGACAGAATTTTCGCCGCAGGCCTCGCAAGTCTAGTAACATCACGCGACTCATTTTGGACTTCTGTTAGACCTAAAATTATCTTTGCATGTACCAACCAGCCCAATTTTTAGGAGTCTCAGTAGTATTCTTCGTGGAAAAAGACTGAAGTTTGCTATCATCATCCCTTCTTTCATCCAATAGCCCTGGAATGGCCATAGCTGCCCGAAAGGGCTCTAATCCAATTAACCTAAACAGCATCAAAGCTCAAAGTTCTTATCGTATATTCAAGTTCGTTAACTCAGCATAAGAACTTGGAGCCTATAATTCCGATAGATTCGGAGATGAATGCCTTTTTTATCGTATAAACCTGAACACAACTTTGTTTGACCTTCCACTGAAGGCCAGAGACATGTGGCAATGCAGAAACAAGGCAACAACTGGCACGCGTCTACTTGCGGCAACCATTCAAGGCAGGGAGGCAGGGAGAGGCATTCCGAGGAAAGGTGTTATGACGAAGCCGCGGGAACCGACGCCTTCCACTAAAAGAACATAATACGATTATGAATATTCCAGAATGCAATGAAGATGATGTAGCGTCCACTGTTACACCTTGTCACGCAGCGTCTTCCGCCCATGACAACGAGCCAAATGAGCTCTGACATGTTAGCGAACCAACTGATGTGACTCTACCTCCAATGGCGTCAGCAGAGGTCAAGGGCACAGACGAGGGTGGCACTCTCCCTTCACGCCTTATTTTTGCCACGACGGATGTCTCCTGAGAGAACGTTCAAATCGGCGTGAGGCGTTCTCAGTAAGCTTTTTTCTCTGTCCCTTAAAGGGAATGTTCCACACTTGAATGTAATGAAGCAAACGTCCGATTTGATGGGTTAAGGTCTGAAGGAAGGCAGAGCTGTGAACTGCACCGAATGATCTTCCAGACGGCACTTTCAGCTCAAAACACCATACAAATGTGGAACACCCCCTTTGAGAGAATTCTGACTGCACTCATGGCGAAGACGACTCTTATGAAAAACTTTCGATATTTTATCATTCGAGCCGCAAACACTGTGACGGTTGTAGCCATCAATCTTGCAAGTGTCTCAATGTTATGAAACGTTGACTGAAAAACACTCATCCATCACATTTACATCATTCGAAGTCATTAAATAAAGCGTGACCGGTGAATGCCAAGCCCTGTCAAGGTTAACGACTAATAAATTGAAGTTCGATTACACATATCTTTTGTGGCGGGGAGTCGTGACCACGTGACTTTCAGGAAAGTGGGACGAATCAGCAGGCGAGCTACAAAAACGGATGCAAAACATTAAAACATACGGTGATAGATGACAAGAGATTGGACCGGGGGGCGAATCCAGGATTTCGTCAAGGGGAGGGACATGCAGCATCGTGGACCTCCTTAGAGTAAGGGGCCCCTCCTCCCAAAAATCCTCGCATTCCGGCCATCACATTTTAGGATGATAAGTAGCTTATCTTTTATTCGGCAACCCATCTCACTGTGCGAACCCTAGAAAACTAGGCGTGCTACGGGTGCGCATACATAAAGGTTATTCATTTTCTCCAGACATATTGAGTTCTATAATTTTAAAACCAAGTATTTCGGAAATACGTGGTCAAGCAAACTTAAGTTAACTGCTAAACGCCATCAAAAACGAGCACAAACTCGATAACCCGTTTATTTGCGGCTAGCCAGCTGGTCAATGTGATCAACTGATGGCTGATGACTATGCAGAGTTTTTCATTTGTTATAAAGGAGTGAAAATATTCTAGCACGTCAAATGCATTGACAAGCTGATGCACGAGTATAATAGTGTCAAAAATTCCATAATCAGCGGAAATGACACATGCGGCGTCGGCGGCACCTAAAATTATGTTCAACAATTGTGCGTAAAAATTCCTCGGCTCATATCCAATTGCTACTCTTAGGATCAGGCACCAAGGCCAATGGGAATGGAGCCTGAGCGACCGAGGGTGTCGTGGCGGGCCAACAAAGAGGCTCCCGTCAACAAGCATAGGGTACAGAGAGCAAACCCAAGAGACGCAACCAAGAGAAGAACTCAAGACTGACGTGGTTGGCCTCTGAGTGATCGGGAGTGCCCCGCAGGCTGACATATAGAGCACCGGCCGGAGCACAGGGCCCTCTGAGCGAAGGAAAATTACCCACGGCCAGTGCATACGAATTCAATGTCCCTGTGCGATCAAGAGTGACCGGACAGGGTAGCAGAAAGAGTCCTCATAGGAGTGAAGGATCCTCTGTAAATGAGGTTAAAGGGAAAGAGCCCTATGTAGATCAAAGTACAGGCCCCAGAGGGTCTCCATTCAAATAGAAGGTACCCAAGCCCCCGAGCGACCAAGGGTGCCCGCGAATAGATTAACAGATTGGCCTCGGCAAGAGCATAGGGCCCTCCATGCAAATAAGAAGTGCCCCAGACCCAGTGTAAAGGGCCCCCGAAAGATGCAGTGTACCAGAACAGGTCCTCAGATGGGCCCGCGACATGAGCGTTGGGTCCTACATTCAAATACCAAGACCCAATACGCAGGGCCCCCGAACAGTTCAGTGTGCCCAAGCAGGTGAACAGATGGGTCGTCTGACAAGTGCGTGGGCCCTCCGTTCAAGTAAAAAATAACAACGACACAATGTAGGGGCCTGCGAGCGATCGAGTTCCCAAGCAGGTCAACAGATAGGGCCCCGACAAGAGCACTGGTCCCTCCATTTAAATGAGGAGCACCCAAGACCCAATGAAGAGGGCCTCCGAAAGATCGAGCGTGCCAGAGCAGGTTATCAGTTGGGCCCCCGAAAAGAACGCAGAGCCCTGTATTCAAATAAGAAATACCCAAGACTCGGTGTGGAGGACCCCGAACGATCGAGTGTGCCCCAGCAGGCTATCAGATGGCCCCCGACAGGAGCGTAAGGCCCTGCACTCAAATGCCCAATGTGCAGGACCCCTAGACAATCCATTGTACCGGAGCGGGTTAAGAGACGGGGGCCAAACCAGAACGTAGGGCCCTAAGCAAGTGAGAGAGAATCGGAAGGGCGCTAACCAATGCAAAGGCCCCATGAGCACAGCGCGAGTGACGGTTGGTTAATCGAGGCTAACGTAAACGGCCCCGGAGCAATCGAGAATATCCCGGCAGGTTAGCACACGGGGCTCCGGGCTATAGCGCACAGGGCCTTTGGGGCGAATAGGGGGGGGGGGGGGAATTTCTGGGAGGCCCCTAACTGACAAGAGCGCCCAGGCACGCTTGCAGGAAGGGCTCAGCCACAGCGCGGGGCCCTCCGTGCAAAGGCAAATAAATCAGGGCCAACGTGGAAGGCTCCTCAACGATCGGATTACTCTTGCAAGTGGACCCGCGTTCCCCAGAGACAGCATAGGACCTCTGGACAGCGTAATGAGCCTTAAGATCTCTCAGTCAATGAATAATTATTTGTGTGTACACGTGAGCCCTTTACTTTCGCTTGCGACTGCTCTTGGTCGCCTGAAGGCCCAAACCCCATATTTGTTGCGTTTGTATCTAAAAACACTGCATCAGTTCGGCCGGCTATGAGCCTATTCGGAGCTTACGGGCTCATCCGAAGCCCAAGAAGGATCATGGCTCCGTACCCCTCCCCCCCCCCCCCACCCTCTGGATTTTCTCCCGGAGTGGACAAAAATGGTTTGGTGCTTTTTGCATAGGCACAGTATCATCTCCCATATCAGGACATGATCGAACACCGATTTCGTTTCAATCGAGGAGTTCTTGTGTGTGCGCCAAGGCCATCGGACAAGACCTGTTTCGATAGGATACTGGAGCCCTGATTCCAGACGTGCCACACTTGCTGCAACGCCAAACACGAATACCCAATAATCGCAACGCGGTGACGGACCCAGAATTTCGTTAGTGGGTGGCCATGCGGCATTATCGGAATGCCTCCGGGGTTCGGAAACCCCCTCCCAAGAGTTCCCATATACTGCCCCGGCCAGAGCGTTTGGCCCTACGAACAAAAGGCAAGAGCTCAAGACCAGTGTGCATAAATTACTGCCTCTGAGCGATCAAAGGTGCCCTGGCAGATGAACGCATGGGGCCCTCGAAAACAGCGTAGGGTCCTCCGAGCAGACTTGAAGCGCCAGAAACCAATGTGACGGGCCTCTGTGCAATCAAGAGTGTCCGGGCAGGTCAACAGAAAGGCCCCGACGAGAGAGCAGGGTAGGCAGCACACTCAATAGAAAAGGCCCTAGACCAATGTGGAGGGCCCCGAGCATCGAGTGCCTCGCCACGTTAACTTCCATGGTCTTCAGGCACAGCACAGGGCCCTCCCAGCAAGTGGAAAGAGCCGGAGACCGATGCAAAGGGTCCTCCCCAACCGAGAGTACCTTGGTAGAATAGCATAGGGAGCCTCCGCCGTGGCGTATAGAGCCTTTCCGGTGAATGGAAAGAATCCGTAGAGGGAGCTTGAGCGATCAAGAGTGCCCCAGCAGGTTATAAAGCCCCAACAACAGCGTAGGGACCTCCGAGGAAATACAAATACATCAGGGGCAACGTGGGAGGCCCCTTAGCCATCAGATTGACCTGACAGGTAGACTATAGGGTCCCGGACACATTTTAGGGCCTCTGTACAGCTGGGCAGGACTTGGCCCCGTGCCCCTCCCCGCTCTGGATTCGCAACTGGGGCCTCGAGTTTCCCAATGATTATTCATTTTGGCTGTGCAGCGGAACGTCTAAGTTCGCCCACTGGATGAATGCTAGGTCCAAGCCTACCAATTTAACAGACTTTCTTCACCATTTTCCAATCCTTCACCTTCTTCATTCACCAATCCTTCCTACAGCACATCATAGGGTTCAAATGTGGCAGAACCACGCAGCGAAATATGACCCCGCCGCGGGCGCGAAAGCTGTTTTTGTACGGAAACCCAGCCAGAGGCCTTTTTCATCGATGTGTTTGATGCTGTCGACGGCATCAAAGTTCCGCCTGTCATCCAAAAGATAAGAATATCATTTACCATCAGATGTGTCAACGTTCATCAAAGGATCTGCTTCCAGCGATGGTATGTGCGGATCCGGGTGACCCATTACCTTCAAGCCCGTCATCAGTCACTCTGCCTGGTTTGTCAGGCCGTCCTCGTTGTCATTCACGGTCCATGGTTTCATGTCGCATTCACTTCAATGTTTTAGCAGTCCAGATTAATTGTTTTCTATACTTTATGCTAAGACTACCAAATAATCCGTCCAAACTACCGGGGACGTCTTCACTGTCTTTCATTTTTGCAGCATTTTAAAGCTCATGAAGAAGCAGGAAACATTTCAGAGATATCTACTACCTTGCTTCATGAGCTACCAAGAGTTTTGCAAAGAATACCACAGCTTAACCAACGTTTGCTCAATGCTGAGCATATGGAAGCACGCCTGGATCCGCCTCTACAGAATCAACTCCAGTTCCCACCACAGTGCCTGGAGCGGTTTCCAACACGACTGAAGACAGCACAGAAAAGTACAGAGTTGACTTCGATTCCAACTCAAGTAGTTTACCCAGTTTCGGAAAATTCTGGCGCAGTCGATTTCGGTGACAAAAGACAACGCGTTCTGTTGGCATGTGGTTTATCATGGTGCGTCGATCTTGTTTTCTGCCAAGACCGCAATACAGCTAACCTGTTTCGAACAAAAATTTATGTGGTTTATGTGGCAAGTATTGTTGAAAATCATTGGACACAGATAAAGGGCTGGGCCACAAGGAAACCGCCCCCGAGATGTCTCCTAGTCCATTGTCTGGGGCATCTCCTTCCCTGCCCTCAGGGTTTTTTTTACTATTACAGGTACGCAGGTACCTGTAATAGTTTTTACTACAGGTACGCTATTTGTAGGATGCCGGCAAGGAAGGTTTCTTCTGGAAGTTGGAAACGTGTAGTCGTGATTCATCTGAATCGCAGTGAAACTTATGGATGGCTGCAATTTTATGAATGACACAGCCTCTCTGAATTGCCACTTAAACTAAAACACCCCGTACATATTCATTCATAATTAATTCGACACTTGGATTATTCCGGCCAAAACAACGATTGTTCATCTTTGACTGACTGATACTTGTCAGAGCACTCGGTTCTACCCTCATGAATCGGACATTTTGTTGATTCTGAAGTCGACTCCGATTTCACGAGTCGAGCACGATTTTTCTCCCGATAATCGGGTAAGCCGGGGTAAGACGTCTTCACCAACGTATGCCATATTTTAGCTCTTGTGTTGTCTATAAGAATGCATTTTTTTCGATGAACAAGTGTACTTGTAATGTGAATATTCTCCCTTCAATGCAAGGAGGGCAGTTATGATTGCCTTTTTGCGAATACAAATCCAATCGACATTTTTGGTGAGCCACCACAAAGAGTGTCTTGCCTCATCCACGTGGCAAGACATCCCAGACAATAAAGTAAGAGGGATCCTGGGGCACTTTTATCTCAATGGATGACCGTAGTTTAGTTTGGGATCCTGGGGCAGCTTGTTCACTGACTTAACACCCCCAAATCAGGGCATTTTTAACGCTACACTTTTTCGCATTTCGGCGACACGAGCCATCGGATTGCGACCGAGCCCTTTCTTTTTACGTTTCACTTCGTCGCAATGTCTAGTTGGCACTAGTGGTACGAATTCATCCTCCTACCGTCCGTGTAAGCTGTCACGCTGTTCGTCATGTCACGCTGTCACGCTGTCACCCTTGCTCCTCCCACAATACCGTGCTTGTTACGCGAGTCTCAACCCACATCACACGCTGAGTTCGCAAATACTGAAAGCTCACATGTCACTCTGTCATGGAACAGCCACATACCCGCCTAATGACTTGACACACACTCCCGAGTCCTCTTCCTCAATCCCGCGATTCATCATGCGGGATTGCTCAGATTGAAGCCCTTTCGATCAGAAATGATCCTTGCAGGGCTTTGGGATGAAGGAGAATGGATAACGGTGGGGGAGCTTTCCATGCGTCTTGGGGCCAACCACCGAGCCTTGGCCCGCGCAGGGACCCCTCGGAGCCCGCGCAGGGACTCTTCGGATTCCTCGGATAGTGGACTCCAACGACTCTGATGAGTCCCTGTGCCCGGTCGAAGCCCCCTCCAGTGTGCCTCAGGCCCACTCCTGGCTGACGCATGCAGCCTGCCCCGGACAAGCGGCGCGTCACGAGGATTCAGGATAGAGCGAAAAACAGGATAAGAGGCGCTCGGGGCGACCTCGCCACAGGTCATGCCGCGCTGACCTCACCTAGCTCCACCAATCAGCACACTCCACGCAATCGCGTGCCATTTGAATTTCACCCAATCAGAGGCCTACTCCCGTCTCCCCAGGTCAACTCGCGGGACAAGGCAGCGCCAGAAGCCGGTCAACTCAATCTCACAAAATCCAAATTATCATTTTATTTATTATTATAATCTCACATCAACACCTTACACCTGTGTAGCGGCACTAGCGAGCCCCGTACCTCAGCACTGGGAAACCAGAGGTACGGTTTTTATTCCCCGCGGTGCCTGCACTGCCTGCCAGGGTGAGAGGTAGGCGACGCCATTAACCCTCAGCAGCAGAGTGCGTCATAAATCCTTAATGGCGATGACTAGCGATGGCCCGGCGCTCGGCCGAGGACAGCGGTTTAGTATGCTATAACGGTTTATTGTACGACGTGCCACGACGTAACTGGCCTCGTTTGGTTTTTGTTCGCGTGTGCTAAAGGCATGCATATATTATTTATCGCAGTTATCCTGTCTGTGTAATATGCTGTTCAATGGTCTTTCTTCCAGGTGCCCCAGCAGACAAAAGGTGGACTTTGAACAAGAAATGCCTTGAGCTTCCACGGCTCTCGGGCATAACCTGAATCCGGAGCTCTGCGCCATTTGAACGATTCATCCCTACCATCTGTTGCAACGATTTAGACAGAAACGTCCTGATACCATGCGGACACGGTAAAACTCCCCAGACTCTCCTAGAGGTGGAGTACAACGCTCTGCCGACGTGATTAAGATGCTCCACGGCGGGTTTAGACAGAATCGTCCTGATACCATTCGGACATGGGTGAAATTCCCCAGACTCTCCTTGAGGTGGAGAAAAACACCCTGCCGACGGGATTAAGGTGCTCCACGGCGGGTTTACCTCGCCACTGAGTGGAGTCTTTACCACATGCCATCCTTGCCATAAAAAGTGGCGCATTGCTTCAAGACTCAAGTTCCTCTGAACCTCGAGTTAGCCGGGAATCAGTGTTTTATCATCCCGTGCATTACAAATGATATTCAGGAATTGAAATATTCGAGCTACCTACAAGAGGTGCTTATCCCCGCGGGGAGTCTTGCCCACGCTGCCCTAGTGTTTGCTATATTTCTTATTACTATAATCATAGCTTCGTCAGAAGTATTTCATTCTTCAGTGCATAACACTTAATGATAATCATAATAATACAAATCAATCGCCAGTGTCATGATATATCATCAGTGGTCAGCTAAGCGTCACTTGGTTTTGATCCTTGCGTAGGCATCGATAAATGTGTCTTATCGCGGAGCTCAGGAAAGCACATGTTTCATGTGTACATTGAAGAAATTCCAGAGGCGGCCAGCTTGCAAACCGCACATGGGTCTTGAAATATTGTATGCGACACAAATGTGCTGAGGTTGCCTGGATCCCAGTGATGCATGAACGCGGGAGTCCCATGACAGACCTGTGTTACTGCTATCTCCTCCTTTCTTGATCCGTGTCGTGCTGCCATCTTTTTCTCCCGTAAAGCGCCATCTATTGAAGACCTCAGAACAAAAAACGAATAGAAGGAATGTGAAGCGACCCTCATCATGCGAATTGCGGAGGTCATCACGTCCAATCCTGGATATGACGGACTTTGGATGCGGTCCTCCACAACCAGTTTATGGTGTTCGATTCCGCACGACCAGTTCGCAGTACCCGGTCTGAGTCTCCGGCTCCCCGTCGAACATCAGCTGTCCCGCTTCTGGTACGGTCCTCCACAACCAGTTTATGGATGTTCGATTCCGCACGACCAGTTCGCAGTACCCGGTCCGAGTATCCGGCTCCCTGTCAAACACCAGCTGTTCCGCCTCGCCCAGCACCACCTCGGCCGTGGTCTGGACGGTGAGCGAGACCACGTGTCCAGCCAGCGCCGAGCCGTCGGCCCGGCCCAAGGTCACGTGCAGATGGACCCCGGACCCCGAGACGGTGCCGACCAGCGAGCAGATCTCCATGAAGTCGGACGAGCTTACGAACTGGCGGCACAGGCGGGGAAGAGGTGCCGTCGACAAACCCGTGATGCTGGTGGCGAAGACGGTCAGGTTTCCATGCGGCACACGTATGGAGGCACAGAAATGCGACAGAACAGGTGTGACAGAAGCAAACAACAGCGACAGAAGAAGACAACAACGAAAGAAAGAAGCGACAGGAAGATGCTTTTGTGACCAGTCAATCCTATAGCTCAATGCAAGTATGCGACGCTCTGTCAATAGAAGATAACACGACAAATCGATTATGTAAAAAAACATATCTTCAGTTTGCTGTTATATTAGATCAATCCGAGCCACAAAAATATGCAACATAAGGAGAAACGGCAGGAAAAACAGGCCACGAAAAACATGTCTCTCCATGGCTCTTCTACATGACCCTACACCCGTGAGTGAGCCATGCTCACGTTTTCGGTCCGACCGTCCGGAGTGGAGGCTAGCCGGAGCCGACAGGCGCTGGTGCTGCCCACACAGGTCACCACGAAGGCAGCCTGGAGCGCGGCCTCCCGACACCTGGCAGTGACCTCGGTCACCAGCTCCTGGCCGGCGCTCAGACGGAAACACAGCACCCGGCAGCGGGAGAGCGACATCTGCCGACGGTAGGTGCCACCTGCCGACTGCGAACAGAATGTGGCGTCGCAGAGGGCGGCGACAGCTAGCGCACGAAGTATTGTACCAAGCTTATCACCATTGCTGTTTCCGCGCGATGCAACACATTTAAATCCTGAGCAGCCTAATGCGTGCACTGATGTGACGTATCGGGCAGGGAAGGGACTGGTGGCCGACTTTTGGCCTTGATCATCTCAGGAAAGGAATGCAACTGACGAGCTGGTATCGGACCAATTTATTTGAAACACAATGTTTCATATATTTTGGAATATTACGCTGCACCAAATGCAAGCAATGGCTCATTAGTTTGCCGTGTTGAGCCCCTATCTCCCCTTACAAAGCAAGCTTACACGCAGGCTCCACCATGGGTGCGGAGCGATCAGGGGACCTGAGAGAAATGTAACGCTCTAATGTTACGAACAATGGCTCCAGATTATATATATATATATATATATATATATATATATATATATGTATATATATATATATATATATGTGGTCGTAACACCCACGTTTTCTAGTGATCCTCATTAAACACGTCATCTCAGATCAGACTTTCTCCCTTTTGATACGCTCCCGGAATCTGCAGGCCGTGACTTCATCCCCTTGATCAACCGTGCATTGGTATCCCATGAGTCCAGTGGGCAAACAAGCCCCAGTGAATCAAGCGTGCAAATAAACATTGTGTCCGATCGAAGCATAACAGCAACGTATACTGCAACTGCGGCGCCTCACGTGTTATGTGTATGACTCCTGCAGCAGCGGCCTGTCGCCTCCACACACTGTCACGTGCCACTGCCGCGCCAGACGGCGGCGCCAGGCCGCGGCGGCCCCAACAGTCCTCACGCACACAGACGGCCGCGCCGCTCGGTGGGACGTTCAGACGCACACACCGGCTAGAGAGAGGTGCAAACTGGCCGAGGAAAGCCCACGGCCGCGTGCAGACCCCGCCGCTACGCCGAGAGCGTAGGCTCCAGAGACCGCGATGCAGGCAATTGTTGCCTCTGTGGGCATGTTTCCTGCGGCAGGGAAAGGAGGCGATAACCAGGAGCTCTGACTTGATGGATTTTGAATTCTAGGAAAAGTGCACCTCGTTCGCCGGTGTGTTTAGAGACGTCGGACAGGCGCCCGGCGTCATAGCCAGCCTCTGCGAAGTCAGACAGGTCGCCGTCGCCCACAGTGTGATGATGGTTAGTCTACCCACAAATTTTTCACACATGCCATCCCGAATGCAGGCTGTGCAAGCGACCTGGAAAAAGAACAACATGATGCGATGCTCGTTGCACATGGCTGCGTCCGGCGTGCTGAGTGGCCCGTGTCGGTGTCCGGGGCTCCCAGCCTTGAGGATGAAGTCGTAAAACGTTGATGGGACATAGTCCCCAGATCGCCATCTTGCATATACGATATAGGTGCCCGGGGCCGAACAGAGGGTGATATGTCATGCAATACTGAGGAGTAGATGCACTGCAGAGGGGATGGTTCAATGGCCAGGCCCCGAGGCGGGTCGGAATGGATGCGGACAGTGTCGAAGCAAACGTTCCAGACCCAGACTACTCGGGCAGTGGAGTTGACTCCTGAATGTATTTAGGGATGCCGTAGAGCTCAGAGACCTTCCGCGGGGAATGTCCTGCAGGCAAGGATGAAAGACTTGGCTAATGCAATGATGTCAATAGTCTTGGGCCCGCGAAATACATGTGATGTCGACGCATTTATCCCAAGCCGCTAGGGACACTTCACCTGAAAGCGGCTTCCAGCCAAACGGCTGCCCAATGCCGCGGCCGGTTTACATGTGCGCTAATCCGACCCGACTCGCGAATGCTTCTGTTCTGCAGCAGAGCCCCAGCGGGTATCCTCCGCCCATCGCCCGTGCTTCACCATTCAGTCCAATTACTGTCAAAATCACGACCGCTGCCTGCATCGGAGCACCTCGATAACCAGGGCCGCTATTCGGAGCCGTGGGCCTCTGTACTGCCCGCCCCGTCGGTTTACGGCACCCGCCCGCCGGCGCCCCTCGCAGGTCCGCTCTCGCCACGGGACGGCGAGCAGTGGCGCGTCAGGCCTGGGGCGCGTTCGGCCGAGGGGAAATTATTCAACAAATAATTGTATCTCCGATAATCAGCCGCAAAGGTTCTCCATTTACATTCGGCCGGCTCAAAAATTATCGCCAGGTTAATCTCCCACGCGCCATCCACAGCCAACAGTCATAGCTATGCATAGTGAAAACAGATTCTCCGTATTGACCATGCCCTGAAAATTCTCCGGGATTCTCCCTCGCTGCGGAAAATAATCTTGAATCATTTTTGCGTGTCAGCAGTGCCGAGTGCCATTCCGGAAAATGTTCTAACGTTCGGGATAATTTTCCGAGATTATCTACCGGCCGAACGCGCCCCCAGACTGGCGCACGCCCTCCCCCCCCCCCCCCCCGCAGATCGCATCGGTGCGTAATCACGATCTCGGGTTCCGCCGCGGCTGCCCCCGGCTACCGGCCGTCGGTCGCCCGTTCCTGCGCCGATCGGTCGCGGCTGCCCTCGAGCCGCCGCTCGGCTGATGAAGCACGTGCTGGCACGAACGGACCAGCGGCGCGCCTCCGAGCTCGGCCGCGCGGAGTATCGTAAACCAGCGGCGGCGCTGGGCGGAGCGCTGTGCGCGAGGCCCCGGGCCGCACCTGGCGAGCGTAACAGCGGTGTGCGCGTGGCCGCCGGCGGGGGACGGGGTCTGTTAGTGGGTCATGTGCTACACGATTCATGGGTCTGGTCCGATTTGCCGGGAGGCTTGTGGATAACCGTCCCGTAGCTGTCCGTTCGGTTCAGTGGTCGTGGTAATGAGAGCACCGTACGCGTCACAACCTGCCGAGAGTACACATTGTACGTATTGCAACCTGATGAGCCTACGCATGGCACGCATGTGACTTACCAATGAACAAAAGTAGTAGTCCAACGACGCCAATGCAATGTGAGGGATGGGCGTTGATCCTTCAAAGTGTCCACCCTCCCTTCAGCATCAACGCCATCAGCGTCGCGATGCGTTGCAAGAATCCAATGACAAGGTCAGTTTGCATGCACGTGCTCACCTCAACCACCACTTTTGACACGCGCCCGGGTAGCCGGCTGGATACCCTTCGCTCGGATGGGGGTCAATTTGACCCGGCTCAGATCTCAAGAACTATGAGGACTAGAAACACCAAATTCACAGAGTATATTAACCTGTACGTGAACTCACTCAGGTCAAAGTTTAAGGTTTTTAGGTCATGACCTTCGGATAAAATAAGGTCAAACAAGGTCAGATTCCAGGTTGGTGACCAAAGTGCCCCCAGAACCTAGATAAGTAGTTCTAAGCAAAAGGTCACATGCTCATGTAAGGTCAGTGACCTTGTTTGACCTTTTGAAGGTAATGGTGACCAAAATCATACAAGACCGCCCTGAGTTTTGCATTTGAATAATCGACAAAGTTCACGCTAGACAGTATGCTCCTAAAAAACAAATGTTGACCTGGGTCATTTTAGGTCAATGACCTATTCTGACCTCTAAGAAGTCCATGAAGGATGTAGAGTGCGGTTCCCGCTGTCAATAAATTCGAAACTGAGCGCCAGGAGCTATCCCATACAGTAAGCCATTGAGTTATAAAACAGGTTGGTATTGACCTTGGTCTTATCTTCATATCCGACCTTAGGTCAATACAGTTTTCTCATTCAACTGTCTAAGAAAGCATTGCAGATGTGTATGGCTTTGTCTAACACTCCGTTGTTGTATCAGATTGAACGATTCCCTAGAAATTGACTAAGCCGAAAATATGGCCTGATTTTGACCTGCCATAGGTCAGCGACCTTACAAGGTACGTTGAAGCGTTTTGATTAAACGATCCGCTATTCAATTGTCTACAGCTATGCAAAATTTGGCGCGGCTGCGCCGCGCCGCTCGGAAACCATTCTGGAAAAACCTTCAGGGGGGGGTCAATTTGACCCCCACCCGAGCGCGTGTCAACGCAGCGACTGTGACTTTTGTGTCATCTGCGTTTTGCGTTACAAACGCGCTGCCAGCGTACAGACTTCAGTCGTTGGCATAGATAATGAGGCGAGGTCCCAGAGGCGAACCTTGAAAAACTCACTATCTCATAGCTAGCAAGTCCGAAAACTGAGTGGTGTTCGAATCACTGGTGAAGTTGTTTGTCACTGGGAGTGAGTCTGTTTGGTAGATGCTTTCGAACCTTTTGATGTCAATGCAGATAAGCCGCGCTTAAGCGATGAGCTTATAGTGAGCCGATGATACCAAGTCATTTACTCAGATCGGTACTGCTAATGGAAAAACTCATTTTTTAACCGAATGGACAGAGCAGGCCTGACATCTCAGCGCAGTAGTTCAGGCGGAGCCATGGGACCGGAAACAGCGCTGGGTAGGAGCAGGCAGATGGCTGAAGGGTGGAGATAGGCAAGGCTGGCCGTGGGCCGTCATTGCCGCTATCTTGCCCGTGACAGGAAGGTGGGTGGTTGGGTTGAAGTTAAATTGGTTTTCAGGATCACAAGGATTGGGAATCGATGCACGGTTGTATGCTTCCAGAACGCAGGGACGCAACTGAACGTCGTCTTTGTCTATGATGTGAGAACAAAGCGCGACCGATAGCATCAAAATAACCTTTAAAGCCTCGTATGCACAGTTCGTCACAGCCGTTGGCTTTCGAGTTTGCAAATAAAAAACGATGCACTGCAGATGTTTAAGTGAGATCAGTTTTGCTGAAAAGCGGATGTGCCGACCCAGGGCAGCGTCATGGGGAAACCCGGAGTGGCCTCTCGCGTTGTTACCTCTACAGCCACCCTACGCTCCAAGTTTGAAGTTCACTCGCCACGTAATGGCCCACTAAGACACACGCTGTGTGCCTCTAACGCCGCCATGCGCCGCTAATGCCGCCAAATTGAAGACGCACTGTGTATAGCTCTCTGACCAGCCTCTCGAGCCGTAAATCACTTGTTTGGTAAGCACCAGGGCTCTGCGCGAGTATTAGAGTGTACAACTAAATACTATTCTGTGACATTTATACTGCCTTACGCAGCACTTTTGCTATGTTAATTACTCTGCTATTAATCGCCGCCTTACCCATAACAGTAAATCAGAAGAAACAACTTGACGGGTGATCGTTAGAGTGCTGACGTTGCTGGATGGCCAGCCGCTGAATGGACTGGTTGGCAGTTTCTTTATTAGAATTGTGCGCCACATTGGCCTACACTTCGGAGCATGGCTGCGGCAGGCGTAATTTATTGTAAAACAAAGCGATTGGGCTTTAAAAGGTTTCTGAACACACCCGTCACTTGTGCAATAACACCGACCATTAAAATCCAGTAAACCCAAATTAACTTGATCATTTATGCACGCCTTTCTGGTGGTTTCCAGTTTTAGAGGCGGGACAAGGGCGCGTACTGCCGTCATAAAACATGGGCTTTCAGACCGTTCATGCCAGTTTTGCATCCGTGTTTGCCACTGAGCGGCGGCCTCAGGCGACATTAGTTTGTGGTGTGATGCGATGCAGAGAAGTCAAGGTGAGGTAAGACCAGCTCATTAGCTGACGCAGTATTCCAGACCATGGGCGCATGTCGTTGTTTGTGTTGGCCGTCCATGTCAAACATTGTTCAAAGCATTTTGTCGATTCGCAGCTCCCAGCACAACAAAGGTTCACAATATGACATCCTTTTCTGTGAAAGCTGATCTACAAGTATGCTTAACAGCAAATATCTTAGGATTGTGTCGGGTGTATTAAGTTTCCATCCGGTAGAATGGGATTGTACACCACCACTTGAAATGTAAGAGGTATTGAATTCTGTTGAATTCACTTTCTGCCGCTGTT